TTACACACGCATCCACCTGTCTGTGTGTGTATCATCTATCTATCTATCTATCTATCTATCTATCTATCTATCTATCTATCTATCATCTATCCAGTCTTCCATCCATCCACTTAACCATCCATCCATCCATCCATCCATCCATCCATCCATCCATCCATCCACCTGTCCATCCATCCATCCATCCATCCATCCATCCATCCATCCATCCATCCACCTGTCCATCCATTCATCCACCCACCTATCCATCCATCTATCCATCCATCATCTTGTACACACATGAATTTATACACGCATCCACCTGTCTGTCTATATCTATCTATCTATCTATCTATCTATCTATCTATCTATCTATCTAGCCATCCACCCAGACTTCCTTCCATCCATTCACTTAAACACCCATCCATCCATCCATCCATCCATCCATCCATCCATCCATCCATCCATCCTTCTGTCCACCCGTCCATCTATCTGCCTCTTTCTTTCTTTCACTATTAACTATCTAGAACCCTGTGTATAAGTACAAATCTACCACACTGTCTGAATATCGACTTTGTGAAATGTTTTCGAGAACAACTCATCCCGACCCTGTGAATAACAGATCAGAGCCTTGCCGTGTCCTGCTGCATTCTCCCCAACTCTGATGGACGTGAGCCCATTCCTGCCGTCACTGTGTCAACCCATCGTGTTGAGGGTCTCCCTCTCTTTCCCTGACCCTTTATGGTCCCCAGCATCATGTCTTTCCTGCCCTTTAAAGACTGGCCCTTCCTGACAACAAGCCCAGAGTCAATGAGATGGAAGTTTCACCATCCTTTCTTCCAACGAGCCCTCTGACTGTACTTTCTCCCAAATAAATCTATTTGTTCTTTTGGCCATCTTTACAGAAATTCAGTTCTCTTTATCAACAACAGTTCAAAGGCACCAAGTCTTTCCCTGTCATCCGTGGTCATTGTCCAACAATTCAGATGCGCAGCACGTGATTGAAAAGACATAGTTTGAATCAGACGCACCTTACTCTTTAAAATGACATTGTTGCACCTGAGAGAGGCCCTTGAGAGCAGATTTTCCCCTCAATGCAATGTGTCTTTTGGCTTCTTGACTGCTGATACAAAAGGTGTTAATTGTAGTTCAAAAGACAGTCAAGTATCTCCTGATGTGTGCCTAAATCAGGCACACCTTAGTCTTCAAAATGACATCATCGCTCTTCAGTCTTTCTACCTGTTTATCTGTCCATCCATCATCTCATTGTATGTCTGTCTGTTTATCTATCTATCATCTACCATTTATCATCTATCTGTCTATCTATATCTCTATCTATCAATCGTTTACCATTTATCATCTATCAATCATCTACCATTTATCGTCTATCCATCTGTCTATCTATCTATCTATCTATCTATCTATCTATCTATCTATCTATCTATCTATCATCTATCCATCATCTACCATTTATCCTCTATCTATCTATCTATCTATCTATCTATCTATCTATCTATCTATCTATCTATCTATCATCTATCGATCTACTACCATTTATCATCTAGCTATATCTATCTATCTATCTATCTATCTATCTATCTATCTATCTATCTATCTATCATCTATCTCTGTAACACAGTTTCTCTTTCTGTGTAAAGAGTCACAGCTTTTGAAACCTCACGAGGCAGCTGGGCCTTGTCCTCCAGAGTTCCTGGGACCCAGAATTCCACTCAAGGGTGGTGCAAACTTTGCATGTTTAAATTCACTCCCCAGAGAAAATTGGTGTTTTCTTGTTCAATTGCATTGCAGCTAATCCAAAAGCTGACCCTTGTGGGGGAGAAATATGTGGGGGTTTTTTTGCGTCTCTCCACACCTCCCAGTTTTTAGGCAATTTATTCTCTCTCCTACAGGGTCCCCAAGAATCAGAACTGTGTAGATGCCAATGCTGTATTTTTAAAAAATTTTTTTGTGTGGGTACCGTCATATCAGATCTGACTGGTACAGGAAGAGATTGCCCCCCACTTCTCCAGCACAGCATCTGGTGGACTTGAATTGCCAGTGCTGTATTTTTTAGTGTAATATTAAAATAAAATAACATTTTATTAATTACTTAATAAATTCATGCTAATAGTAATACATTACTATTAATAGTAATAACATATTAATATTAATAAATTAATATTAATATTTTACTGTAATATTAAATCAGTGTAAAATTAAATATTGAGATTTGTACACAAGCATGTCCCTTGTGTTTCCATTCACGTCTATTGTGCATGATACAATCCTCTGTATACATTGTCTTTTAAATAATTCATTACTAAGTATCGATGCCTATTATCACCTTCATCTCTCTTCAAGTCCCCTGTTATAAAATCCAATTGGCTTTCTCCCCTCTGGCACCACCAGGTGGAATCAAACCATCACCTTGCCTGCTAGTGGCCTGGTGTTTTCTCAATGCCATATGCAGGTCAACTCACAGTGTCCCCGTAGGTGATTGTCCGGAGGGCTGTTTGCTGGGCTAGGGGTGTAATTCCCAAGGCTTGAGATCAACAATGCTTAGAAGCCAGTTCTCTCCCTGTGCCTGCATGATTCTGCCCACCCCGTCCCCTCACCCCTCA